AACCAATTTGGCTTTATGCCAGACAGGTCTACTACGGAGGTGATTCATCTACTTCGACGGCTTATGGAGAAATATAGGGAAAAAATAGAGATCTTCACATGGCGTTCATTGACCTTGAGAAGGCGTATGACAGCGTTTCCCGTGATATGATCTGGAATACCTTGGAAACGAGACGGATCCCAACTGCTTATAACCGGGAGATACGTGATATGTACTGCAGATCTACCATATATGTCAGGACTACAATTGGCAACATCGAGGCATTCCCGGTGGAAATCAGACTCCACCAGGGGTCGGCTCTTAGCCCTTACATCTTCGCCTTGATTATGGACGACATCTATTGTGCGACACCAGACGGTGTTCCATGGTGTATGCTTTTTGCTAACGACATTGTCCTAGTTGCTGAAACAGAAACTAAGCTGAATAGTAGACTGGCTACCTGGAAGACTGCTTTGGAAGAAAAAGGTCTAAGGATCAATATTGAAAAGACATAGTATTTATCTTCAAACTTCAGTGGGAACCAAAACGATGAAGATGTAGAAGTATGCATAGAAGGACACGTTCTCCCCTCAAATGATTTTTTTCAAGTACCTAGGGTCTATGATACATAAAGATGAGGGTGTAGATGATGACGTTACACACTGTATAAAGGCGGGATGGCTAAAGTGGAGGGCTGCTACTAGAGTTTTGTGTGACAAGAAGGTGCCTCTAAAAATTAAGGGAAAATTTTATAGAATGACAATAAGACCAGCGCTGATGTATGGATCAGAATGTTGGGCAATCAAGAAGGATCACGTAAGGAGGATGGAGGCCGCAGAAATAAGAATGCTTCGATGGGAATGTGGTAGGACTCTGTGGGACATGACATCAAACTCTGCTATTAGGATGTCATTGGGGGTGGTGCCTGTATCCGAAAAATTGAGGAATGGAAGACTACGGTGGTTTGGGCATGCCCTTAGGCGACAACCGTCGAATGCAGTCAAGAGGGTAGAGTCAATCACAATCGACGGTGCCAAAAGGAGAGGACGACCAAGGCGGAAGTGGGAAGACTGCTTGAGATCTGATTTGAAGGATTTAGCCCTTACCGAGGATATGACCTCTGATAGAAAAGTATGGAGACTTAAGACCATGGTAGCCGAGTAGTGTAGGTCACAACCATAAGGTATAACATCTTTGTGTTCTTTTTAATGCCTCTGTAGTAATTTCCATGACTCCTACTTTTTATATGTTTCAGTCTTTGGAATTTAAGAAGGCTTATAACTAGGGTAGCTGAGTAGTTTTGCCTTAGTTTAGGTTTTAACCATTTGACTTTATTCCTTCTCGTAGCTTGATATCGTCGACTTCTGTGTATCATTCTCTTCATGTTTCCTGTTTTTAAATTTAGTCGGGTCTTACGTTTCTGTCTATATGCAGAGATTTTTACGCAGGGATTTAATTGCAGGGAACACTTCTCATTACAGACGAGCATATGAAGATTGTATATGAAGACTGTTCAAATATGTATTTATTTATTTATACATGCATTGCATTTTATCTTTATTTTTAATTTTCTGACTACTGGAGGTCTTCCACGGAAGCTGCTCTCAACCTGGCATTGGGGGCAGCCTACTACCCTACCTCTCCCTTATCCCATTGCATATGAGAATAGGGTTTTGTTGTTGTTGTTCTTTTCTTTTTTTTTTCTTCAAAATTTTAATATTTTATGGTGAATATATTTTAGAGAAAATAACTTCAGTGACCGAAAATGCCTTATAATATACGATTTTAACCAACTTTTTTTGGATTTTGCGAAAATGACCAACAAATTCGCAACGCGATCTCGAATTCGCACAACTCCAATTCGCAACACATGTTTCAAAATCGCAACGCGAATAGGTAAATCGCACGCGAATTTTAGTACTGTTTACCTATATCGGTAATTAGCGTTGCGAATTTGAAAATCACATTGCGATAATACTGTTTACCTACATCGGTAATTAGCATTGCGAAGTAAATAGTATTATCGCAATGTAAACAGTACTATCGCAATGTAAACAATACTATCGCAATGTAAACAGTACTATCGCAATGTAAACAATACTATCGCAATGTAAACAGTACTATCGCAATGTAAACAGTAATATCGCAATGTAAACAGTACTATCGCAATGCGCTTTTCAAATTCGCAACGTTAATTACCGATATAGGTAAACATTACTATCGCAATGTAAACAGTACTATCGCAATGTGATTTTCAAATTCGCAACGCTAATTACCGATATAGGTAAACAGTACTATCGCAATGTAAACAGTACTATCGCAATGCGATTTTCAAATTCGCAACGCTAATTACCGATATAGATAAACACAACTATCGCAACGCGAATTTTCGAAACTGAGTTGCGAATTTGTGAGATTCGTGTTGCGAATTTGTGAAATTCGTGTTGCGATTTACAAATTCGTGTTGCGATTTACATATTCGCGTTGCGTATTTGGAAACTGTGTTGCGAAATTGGAGTTCGCGTTGCGAATTTGTTGGTCATTTTCGCAAATCCAAAAAAAGTTAGTTAAAATCGTATATTATAAGACATTTTCGGTCACTGAAGTTATTTTCTCTATATTTTAAAGTGTAAACTAATTTAGCTAAGTATTTTTATTTTTTTATGTAAACTAATTTTCTTTACATGAAACTTGCCTGCTGTCACCAATGAAATCTGTGGAGACAACATCTTCTTCAATGTAACCCAAAATTCCCTTAAGTTTGTCCACAGTTTATAATAAGACTTCTTAAGCCTTTTGGTGAGGTCCACAATACATCAACGGTCGAAACTCGGAAGGACATTCCGGTTAGTTTCTTAGAACCTTTCCAACAGCTTACACATTCACAATTATCGTCGAGTACATGTATAAGAATCTCAACATTAACAATCCTTTACTTATTTCCAAGCTAACCACAAATATTTGCAAAATAAGGACTAAATCCTATCAGGTTGGAAAATATACCTAGGCAGCACCGGTACTGTTAGGAATGAATATGAAGGAAGCAGCTCTGCCACCTCTCCTGTCCTTTATTGATGGTCCATCAACAATCTTTTCTATAGCTGTAAATAAAAAAAAGATAGATTATATATTTAGTATTAAAATTATTAATTTTGATTCGTTTTAATATCTAATTTTTATTTTTTTAAATTATACATAATATTTAGTTTTTGTTTTATTTTAGTATCTACCGTTAAAAACTTAACGTGTTTAGTATTTAAACTATCAATTTTGATATGTTTTAATACTTAAATTATCAATTCTGGTTCGTTTTAGTGCCTAAACTTTCAAAAAAATCAAAACTTAATGTTAAATTTTGAACAGAGGTACTAAAATGAAACAAAAATTAAACTTTAAGTATAATTTTAAAAAATTAAAAATTTAAATACTAAAACAGACAAAAATTAATAGTCTAAATACTAAATGCGTTATTTATATAAAAAACAACTTTCTTGGCACCGCCCTGAAAAACAAACAAATTCCATTCAATTTCCATGTACTATCAAGCAGTGATAGACGGGGAGGGGTAATCGGGTGTAGTCGTTTCTTAAAAGAAAATTAAATTTTCATAAATTTTTAAAAAAAATTATATTTTTATTGATAATTTATTTTTATATCTTAAAATGTTACAAATTTGTCTTACAAAATATTATAAGTTTTACTTTTAACATAAAATTTTATGTACATATCGATTATCAATTAAAAAATCTATGAAAAAAAAATATAACTAAAAAAACATTTTATAGTAAAGTATTTTACATTCGATAGTGTCGGATACTTTTTTTTTTTCTTTAAACTGATTTCAACCCAAATCCAAATATCAATCTTTAAAATTAATTGAAATCTATTTTTTAAATGTCCAATCTTATATGGTCATAATCTATCATATCTGAATTTTATATTCATCCATAACGAAATTACTATTAATAGAATAATGAAAATAGATAGAAAAAAATAACAATAATTGGATGATTACTTATATGAGGGTAAAGTATACAAACGGTCTCTGACTATAGGATACTATTTTATTAAGTTATTCGACTATTAAAAGTTACAAAATGGCCACCAACTATTCATTATGTTTCAAAATCATCATTTTCTATTAAGAAATTGGCAGCCGCCTAAGCATGATGTTAACATAATGATTGGATATGATAGTCGTTTGAAATAGTATGATTGTATTTTTATCATATCCAATCAACAAATTAACATCCATCTCATAATATTATTAATTTTTTAACGAAAAGAACGGTTTGGAACATAATGAATAGTTGGGTGATCATTTTGTAACTTTTAATAGTCGAGGGACTCAACAAAACAATCTCCTTAATCAGATGATTATTTTATAACTTTTAATAATCGAAGGATTTAATAAACGGTACTCCATAGTCGGAGGATCGTTTGTATACTTTACCCTTGATATAATTACCCTAAAGAGATAATATTGATATAATACAAGAGATCGACTCAAACCGAAATGCTACTATTGCAAACCGAATAAAGAAAATGGCAGCCCCACTTGGCAAATGGTCGTGGCTACCGACCCATCTTTCTCGTGGTCACAACTCTCGTCTAAGGATAGATTATGGAGTATTAAGGACGGTAGCATTTCTATTTTTTTAAAATGATAATTTATTATATTCTCTAATACAATTTTAAAAAAATATACTCTTAACCTAAATTCCTAAATCTATTACATCTCATAACTATTTTTCATATAATTTATATTTATAGTCGGATTCTATAAACTATAAACTAATTTTTTTCCTTTCAAAGAAGGCATCAAACCAAACATTGAAAAAAATATATTAATTTGATTCAAAAGGTCGGCGGCTGTAAATTTCCTACTACTTTTCCTCACGGCGCATGTGAGGGTTTCGTGTTTTGAAAAAAAAGGAAAAGAAAACGAGTTTGTTCAAAATTCTGAAAGTTGTGTCCCATACGCGTCGAACTTGGAAATATAAGGCGTATATATATGGAATAATTGTTTGTTTGGAAGTTGCCTTTGTTGTGTAATTGCTTCCCTTTCAAAAGTTTTTGGAGAAGGGGTCATTGCCCCCTTGCGTTTGCTCTTGGATCTCTCTCTTCATCTCCTCTCTGAACCTGATCATGGCTTCTTCAAACAGATGGCTCAGACCTGAGGTATTCTTTTCACTTCTCTTTCTTAATTCATCCTTTCTTGTGATCTTTAAAGACGATATATTCATGGCATGGCTTTTTGTTCGTTTAGAACAGATCTCTGAGTTGGGGTAAAAATAAGACTATGAAAATGTTAGGTACATTAGGAACAATTGGTATTCTTTTATGTTGTGATCTGAAAATCTCATATCATTGAAGATTATGAGAAGCTGTCCTTTTACATTCATGCTGATATATGAATCTGAGGCCTGAACTTGAATCTTATCTTGTTTCATCAAATCAGTGTAGTATTCATGTTTGAATATTTGTCTAATGCCCACATATTGGGAACCCTGTTTCATTTACGAATCTTAAAAAAACGAATCAATTCCTCATGGTTTTCTTCCCTTCAACGCCTGTTTAGGTGTATCCACTATTTGCATCGGTGAGTGTCGCCGTTGGCATTTGTGCTATGCAGCTTGTGAGGAATATCACCACCAACCCTGAAGTCAGGTATATATATATATATACGGAGTAATTTGATTTAATCCAAAGTTAGATTCAGAGTATTCAAAGTTGGATTGCAGAAAATTGAGATAACAATGCGCACGTTTTTGTATCTGACACAGGGTAACCAAAGAAAACAGGGCTGCTGGGATTCTAGAGAACTTTGAAGAAGGTGAAAAATATGCAGAACATGGGCTGAGGAAGTTTGTCCGCAAGAGACCACCTCAGATCATGCCATCTGTTAACAACTTCTTCTCTGACCCAAATTAAAGCAATTGCTGAATTCTTCAAACTTTGAAGGTTGAATAGTATGTTTTTGGCCGCCTATGCAATTTATTGAATTGGAGAGTTGGATGGATTGTTCTTCTTTTTTTTCATTTTTCAAAGACAGATACAAGACAACTGTATTGCTGGCTGGCAAGTTTCTGGAATATTATTCATGAATAATAAAATAATCAGAGGGGTTTAATATGTATCAGATTTCACAGTTCGGCTAAAAGCTAATCTTTTAAATGAAAAACTTTCATACAGATATATGCAACCTGCTAGGAAAAACATAAATGGTACCGGATGCATCCCAAGTTTTACATCTATGGAGTTTAAAAGTTAATTTTTAGAATTCCATATTCGGACAACTGTGTCTGTAAATTATGTGTATGTTATCAATGATTAAAAAAAATTATGAACAAATAATATATTACGAGTACACATATTATTAAAAATGATTATTGGAGTTTTTCTAAACTTAAAAAAAAAATAGGAATTGTCTAGGGTTTTCTCTCCGAAAAAATAGGAATTGTCTACTAGGGTTTCTTAGTCGGGTGCATGATTAGTCCTTCTCGATTGGCTAATCGGTCAGTCGATGATCCACCGTTGCCTCCGGACGATCAGGGAGGCACTTCGATTGGCTAATCGCTAACTTTTCTAACAACTAATTAATGACTGCTAACCTTTTATTTATTTGTTTATTTTTATTTTACATTAGAACCATGTTTGACCTTGCGACGATCCGTCCCGGGATATGACTCACATTATTTACGGTATGGGATAAATAATAAAATTTGATACTAACATTTTATTTTTATTGCATTTTATTTCTGTTATTTAATTTTATGTACTTTTAAATTTATGCCTTTTTATTTTCTTTATTTAATTTCAGCCTTAACATTTTTACTTGTTTTAATGTTCTCATCGTTTATTTATGTCTTTTATTTTTCAATACTTTAATTTTATTGGCTTAATTATTGTGTTTTATTGTTTGTTTATTTTACTTCTATACTTTATTTTTTGTATAGTTAAATTTTGTTTCCTTACATTTTATCATGTATGGATGTTATATATTTATTCGTATTATTTATGTATGTATATATTATTTACTCTTGGGAATTGGTTTCGAACGATTGTACAAAATATTTGTTTCATTTATTTTTAACGCGTTTTTTTACTCGAATATTTTAAAAAACACTTATTTGTAGAATGAGCGTGGAAAGAACTGTTTGGTCGAAGTAATGCGATCCGATACGACATTCGAACGAAATGTGAACTCAAAATAAATTGAGTTTATTTTTTAAAAAAATGTAAAATAATTCGTTTTTATTCAAATGATGCAATGCATGTTTTTTATATAGTAATTTATTTTATGCAATTATCGATAGTTGGTTTATATTCGGTTTGTGCTTTTTTTGATAACGTTGGGGAGGGGACATTTCTCGTATAAATGAGAAATAAATGGGATAGCTTTCTCATTGGATGATGTGAAATCCCGTGATTTATTCTCAAATTAAGGAATGTTTCCTAATAATTAATAAATGGATCATATTTTAAGTTTATATTCGATTCATAATTTTCACTACCGCGACAATATGTAAGCGACTAGATACCAATTTTAGGCGTTTTGGGGTGCTTATCCTTCCCCACGCGTAACCGACTCCCGGACATGTTAATTCGAGTTTTTGGTAAACACAAAACAATTTTTTTCTTAAAAACGATTTTTCCTTAAAATTGTTTTGAAAGACGTTTTTAGATATTCGACCTACCTAGCTCAAAGATCGATGAGACTCATATTCAATTTAACTTTTCAAATAATGTCATAATTGTTTTTAAAACATTAATTGTTTTTCTAAAAAATGGTTACCACAAATCCGATATATAGACAATACACAGAGCCAAGCATTCCAGAACAAAGTATAAATAACCGTAAATAAAGTTTTGCATATCACGCAGCCACGCAGTGTGCACAAAACGAACCATTCTTTCGCCTTTTAGTAAAGAATACCGTGTGCACGTTTCTTCTGAAAATGCTCTATAATTCGAGTTGAAATGATTTTATTTTGTTTTAGAACTGAATTTTCTGCGATGTAGCATTTACTTTCTTTACTGTTATGTAAACCATTACCTGAGTTTTGCTTAACTAGCTTTGGGTGAATAAAGGTACTATGCAAGTATTTTTTTAGCGTCTTGTAATCACAAGAACATTAATTTTTGGGAGCCACTACTATGACAAGTGCACGTGATCTATTAGAATTAAATCTATCGTCACCTGATCGTATCGATTTATTCTATCAACCTGCAAGCATCCATTATAATCTTACGACTCACATACGCATTAACGAGTCCCGGTATATCCTATCAAGCTTAATAAAATCACCTCACCTTATTTCTTCTATGTTTTATCTCCTTTATGGAGATAGAGTTCATTGACACCAAACAGTTGATTTTCGACCGAATGCGACTCTCCATATGAATTAGAAAGAATAAACCGCCTATAACCGTCGTAATCACATCAACTCACATGAAGCTTCTCATTCACAAGTTCGATTCTTCATTTGGTTGCTCAGTAAGGCTTTGGTCTACAGCCCTCGATAACTAAGGTAGCTTCAATAGGTATGTCCTTGAGAATCGAATGATTCTCTGGACTGATAACATTTTCTTTTCGATGTTGCACAAGTAAAGTTCCATCATGCCTGCAGGCTGCTGTACATATAAGTTCAGACCAAATGTGGTTTTCAATCCTAAAACCATGTCAACGTGCTACTTAGAACTGACTCTTCTATGATAATTTAAAAGTACCGACTGAAATTGCTTTATTTTTAAAAATGTTCAAAGCAGTGTTACCTTGGCCCGTTTTTCATGGTTTATTGTAGTTGCTATACCTTTTTATTAGTCAAGCCTAGCAAACAAGGCTTATAGTATAATCCCACATTGATAATATAGAGACGCCAATTGCTTTGAAGCAAATATAAAATGGATGTAAATCCTGCTCTTCAAGTCAAGCAGCCATGCAGTGTGCACAACATGAACTATTCTTTCGCCTTTTACTAAAGAATACCGTGTGCACGCTGCTCAAAGTGGCATACGCTTATTTTTGGAGGGCTATTTTTTAGTAATTAGCCCTAAAATAGTAGTATAATTTCTTTTTATCAAGAGTGCCGTATGTTGTACAGGCCAAATGAATTTTTAAGTATTTCTGCATGGTTCTCTTTATTCTTTACATCACACTTCATTTACTTATAAAATTGCCCTGAACAATTTGAACTTTTGATTGAATTTATATTTATGAATTTGTTATGTACCTGGGAGCGAACAAAGCAATTGACTAGCAGAGAATATTTGAAGAAAGAAATAGAAGAGAGAGAAATTTCATTCAGAATTTTCTGACGTCCTGACAGTACAAATCTAGCTCTTATTTATGTTGCAATCCTTCTAGTAAAGGACAAAATCCGTTAGCTTCTTCTTAAGTGGCATTTTCATCCTCACTACTCGCGTATTTTCTGATTGGTTACTGCCTACTCACTCTCCTTTTTCTCATCCGCTGCTTGCATGGTTACTGCAGATTGTTGTGCCTTTCCATGCTCATGTCTTGACTCTTCCTTTCTCAACATTACCTCCCCTAATGAAGGAACCTTGTCCTCAAGGTTCATGTCCTCTTGCTCTTCACTTCCATCACCTGTACCTAACACTAGAGGCAAGGTTGTGATCTGCTTCTGGGGCTGCCCTTTACACAATTTCTATTGGGAGATATGAAAAACTGAATGTATGCGAGAAGATTCTGGGAGTTCAAGTTTATACGCAACTGGACCAATGCACTTCAGGATGCGATATGGTCCAAAGTATCGGGGACTTAATTTCTGTTGTCTTCCAAATCGCAGAGACAACTGTCTGTACGGTTGCAGACGAACAAATACCCATTTCCCTTCTTCCAACTCTACCTCTCGGCGGTGCTTGTCAGCTTGATTTTTTATTCGTGTCTGAGCTTGGATTAAATTCCCCTCTAACTCTCTTAACAGTGCACTCGCGCGTGTAGTTCTCGATTTACTGCCAAGTTGCGCGAGCTACCTTCCAAATAGTCGACAATGGTGGGTGGATCTCTTCCATATAATGCCTTAAAAGGAGTCATTCCAACAGACAACTGATAAGCGGTGTTGTACCAATACTCAGCCCAAGCAAGATACACCTCCCATTTACTTGGTTCATCTCCAGCCAAGCACCTATTTAAAGCTTCTATTTGTCCGTCGGTTTGAGGGTGGTAAGCCGAACTCATACAAAGCTCAGTTCCTTGCAGCTTGGCTATCTCCTTCCACATTTCACTGACAAAAATTCGATCTGGAGTATACCATGCAGTTTGATAACCCCTTGCACCAACACTTTAGCGACGATGCCCCATCGAAATGTTTAAGTAGCACGAAGAAATGCCCATGGTCAATCTATAAACTACGACTAATATATAGCTTCTCTTTCATTGGTTTTGGGCAGTCCCACAAAAAAATCCATTGCCACGTCCTCGAATACTTGGTCGGCTATAGGCAAGGGCTGCAGCAGACCCGCGGGTACCAAGCTCTCACTCTTTATTCGTTGACATGTTTGACATTCATTTACAAACTTCCGCACATCCTGTCGCATGTTTTTCCTTTGGAAATTGGCTGCTAAATTATTGAAAGTCCTAACTCCTAGGTATTCCTGCATGTCCCCCAACCTTTGAACTATGGAATTCCCTTAGCAACCAAGATCGTAGAGACTGCTCGTTACGTCCTTTTGCTATCACCAGGCCTTGATGTTCAACGTACCCCAGATTCTCCATACTGCCCTGCTGAATAAGTGTTTTAATTTCCTTTAACTCCTCGTCATGCTCACTTGCCTTTCGAACATCATCAAGAATTCCCAATGTCAATCTTGATATTGCCATCAATATTGCATTGGTGTCTCAGGAGAGCGCATCAACCGCTGAATTTAACTTTCCGGGGCTATAACGTATTTCAAATTCATAACCAATTAGCTTTGATAATCATTGCTTCTGTTCAAGAGTCTGGATCGTTTGTTGGGTGAGCCCTCGCAATGCCTTTTGGTCCGTGAGAATGATGAACCTCCTTTCTAACAAATATTGTCTACATTTGCCTACTACCTGTGTTATAGCGTACATTTCTCGATGATAGGTTGTTGTGCTCAGTTTTTGGCTGAAATAAGCTAATGGTCGGTTCTCTGGAGTTAACACTGCACATATTCCCACCCCTGAGGCGTCTCTATCGAAGCTAGGAAATTATAGCACTGGAGCCGAACTCAGTCGTATCTTTAGTTGTTCAAAGGCATTTTGGGTTGTTACCGTCCATTCGAATGTATCCCCTTTTCGAAGAAGATTCGTCAATGGAGCAACTAAGGTAGCAAAACCTTTGATGAATCACTGGTAGTAACCTACAAGTCCGAGAAAACCCAGTATTTCCTTCACCGATGTGGGAACCGACTAGTTTTTAATTGCTTCCACCTTGCTTGGATCTACAACCAACCCTTCCCCTGATACGAGGTGGCCTAAATAATCAACTTACTCTCTTCCAAAGGTGCATTTCGATCTTTTGGTCACGAAACCATGATTTTGTAACACTCGCAAAACCTGTAGCACATGCCCCAAATGTTCATGCTAGCTCTTGCTATACACCAGTATATCGTCCAAAAAAATCAAAACGAACTTCCGCAAGTAGGGTCGAAAGACTCCATTCATAGTTTCATGAAAAGTGGAGGGAGCATTTGTTGGACCGAAAGGTATTACAAGAAATTCGTAGTAACCTTCATGAGTTCGAAAAGCGGTCTTAGGCACATCTTCTGTCTTGACTCTAATCTGGGGGTAGCCGGAGAGAAGATCTAGTTTTGAAGAGTATTTTGACCCTCCTAACTCATCAAAAAGTTCATCTGCTGTAGGAATAGTGAACTTATCTTTCACGGTGATGGCGTTCAATGCTCGGTAATCTACTCAGAAGCTCCATGTTCCGTCCTTTTTTTTTTTACTAGAAGATCCGGCGAAGAAAACAGACTATTACTCCTTTGTATCAACCGATGTTCCAGCAACTGTTCTATCTCCTTATGGAAACAGAGTTCATCGACACCAGCTAACAGTCGATTTTCGACCGACTGCGACTCTCCATCTAAATTAAAAAAATAAATCGCCTACAACCATCGTAATCACATCAACTCACATGAAGGTTCTCATTCATAAGTTCGATTCTTCATTTGGTTGCTCAAGTCAGGCTTTGGTCTACAGCCCTCGATAAATAAGTTAACTTCAATAGGCATCCTTGAGAATCGAATAATTCTCTTGACTGATATCATTTTCTTTTCATTGTTGTATAAGTTCCATTATGCCTGCAGGCTGCTGTACATCTAAGTTCAAACCAAACGTGGCTTTCAATCCTAAAACCATGTCAACGTGCTAGTTAGAACTGACTCTTCTATGATAATTTAAAAATACCGACTGAAATTGCTTTATTTTTAAAAATGTTCAAAGCAGTGTTACCTTGGCCCTTTTTTCATGGTTTATTGTAGTTGCTATACCTTTTTCTTTGTAACGCTCAGCAAACAAGGTTTACAGTATAATCCCACACTGGTAATATAGAGACGCCAATGGCTTTGAACCAAATATAAAACGGCTGTAAATCCAGTTCAATAAATCACGCAGCCACGCAGTGTGTACAAAGCGAATTATTCTTTCGCCTTTTACTAAAGAATACCGTGTGCACGCTGCTCAAAGTGGCATACGCTTATTTTTGGAGGGTTATTTCTTTGTAAATAGCCCTAAAATATTAGTATTATTTTTTCTTGTTAGGAGTAGCATACGTTGTACAGGTCGAATGAATATTTAAGTATTTCTGCATAAGGTTGTTTAAAATTGGGTACTTGAAATACCAGAGAATATTAAACTCATTTACTTGAAAAAGAGTTTAGTTATAGATCTATTGAAAGATTTTGAAAGCTTTGAAGCTAAAGTGGTAGATAGCTTTGTGAGGATCAGATCGGACCCCAAAAGTTTCCTTCAGAAAAATTCTCATCAGCTCGTGCTAGTTAAAGGTGAATAGCATTCTTCATATTTTTATCATCTATCTTGGTGATACTACTCTTGATCTGTCATTGAGCTTATTCATTCATTTATTGTAAATTCCTTTGCCATTAATATATGCAGAATTAGTGTTCTGTTATATCTAATGATTGTATCTTATGTTGATTATGCAGTATGTTCTCATCTATTTTAAATTGTTAATCTATGGTATCAGCTTTCTTTGTTGTCTAGGGATGAAGAATGTCTGGCAATGATGTAAACACAGATATTGTTCTCCAGGTTTCGAATTTTGTGAAAGATGTTAAAATTTCCATGCTTTCAGATGACGATTTCTCTCAGGTAAACAACATATGCAACAATTTTGCTATTTCATCAAATAGATCAAAATTTTGACATATTTCAATGTAAAGCTAAACCTTCTAGTTTTCCATTAAATTCCTTATTTTTGGTGCAATTCATCTGGATTTTTGAATGTTTTGATGAATTGTTGCCTAAGCCTTTTTTACTCAAACTGAAACATAATTTAAAATATTGTAGATAGTTCCCTTTTGAAGAAAGCACTAAATATTGTGGAGGTAAAAGTGCAATGCAGTAATGATTCACTTATGCGTGTGTGTATAATGTATCACTATGACTATGGGATACATAATAGCAGAATTATATAGGCTGCTGATGCTAGTAACATCAGTGAACTGACATGTCAACTGATTTTTTTTTCCTGGTCCAAAACAAATTAAACAGTGCCTTGATGGTATTTAGATCTTATATTAGCTCTTATTTTCTTTTCATTCTTATCTGAGGTTCTTTGAGGATAATCTCTTTTATATTTAGAGCATATGGGCCTTACTGCCTTAGATGTTACAAATAAGCATAGTTGAAGTTGTAGCGCATTAGGATTGGTATAGCAACCGCATATGGTGTGACAAGAGCTTTGCTTGTTTTGACAGCTGGCTGCTGTCTATACTGTAATAGAGATCAGGATGCATGTAGGGTGTCTTAGTGTTTTCGTTTGCTTTTTGCAGGAAGAATGTGAGGATTTACACCAGAGGATAAAAAAGGGCTTGCTGAAGAGGCCAACTGTTTGTAAGCTCTTGTACATTTTTGCATAATCCATAAAATTACATTCTAGTGGAGGAAGGAAACTGGTTTTTCTTGGATGCTCCTGCATCGTTCTTCCTAGGTTTAAAAAAAACAGTTGCAAAAGTTTTGACTGCATCAGCATAAATGCACTTGGTGTTTCTAGCCGCTCATAAAGGTCATCTAGGGTCTTAAAAGTTGTCTTCCATTCATGAACACTTCTCAATCTGTGGTGGTGACGACCATTCTTCTGATCAATCTTTTGAATAATGATAGCAATAGCAAATTGATCAATCATAACATTCAACCAAGACTTCTCCATGAGAATATGATCCCAGTCCATACTAACATCACACGAGGCATGATTATCAAGGTGAGGCCACACTTTAAAGAACGCTTCCATCTCTTGGAATTGACATTGAATATGGAAATAGTAACACTTCTTTTCGGGGCTTTGACTAGGATCCTTCTCACTACTCAAGAAAGCATCTATTATAATACCCGATTTGGTCTTATCATCATTGCCTTAGATCTTCCTCATTAGTTGAACACAGGGCCGGTCTAATGAGTTTTAATACCCTGGACGAGATAATAATTTTATGCCCCTATATTTGTATCGTATAATAGACAAAACATAAATAATTTTTTTAAAACAAAAATGTAATAGAAATAATGTGTCAAACAAGGCTACAAATATCACCTAAAATGATGCATTCGTACATTTTTTGAAGCAAAAACCTCTATTATTTTACGATAATCAAGACTTAGTAAAAATTGACTTTCGATGCTTAGAATTGCTAATCCGTTCAATCTATCTTGAGTCATCGTGCTTCGAAGATAGAATTTCAAGAGCTTCAATTTTGAAAAACTTCTTTCCGTGGAAGCAACCGTAACCGGTACCGTCAACAAAATTTTATATGCTATCAACACATTAGGGAACATATCCATTCTTCTTGCAAACTCTATTATTTGAATAGATGTCCATGGACTTTCATAATTTTTTTTCATTTGTACACGAAAAGCCAACCATCACTTATGATGGATTGTGGAATGCTAGGCACAATTATATCCTTTAAAATTATAAATTTCATATAATTTAAATATTTTTTATATTTTATATTAATACTTTAATTTTACATCTTTAATTTTTTTTAATTTAACTTTTTAAATGTTCGCAATTGTAACGTATAATCTTACGTTAGTCTCTAACCGTCACTTTTTACCGATACCGGAAGTGAAAGAAGTGAAACAAAACCGTTGACATGAAGCCAAATATGTCTACTTTTTTCATGTTATTTATGTTTTACTGCGTGTTAGAACAAACTCAGCAACATCACTAGACTGAGTGTTGTGCTTTTGCCTGTGAACAAGATTCATGTTATATATTTATGCAAGAAAACGAAATGTAGGTTATTGTGAATACATGATTTTATGATCATTATTATTAGGTTAAATTTATATATATTTAATCCATATACTTTAATTTAGTCAATTTTAATCACTTTAATATTTTAAAATTTGAAATTTTAGTCCTAATACAAGTAATATAGGTGTAATATGAACTAATACAAATACTATATAATTTCACTTAACAGTTACTGATTGGGTTGAGACTAAAATCTTTAGTTTTGAAAAGTGAAAAAACTAAAAATGATTAAATTAGAATACATGAATTAAATCTGTACTATTTCTAATTTATAATTAAGTAGTTAAAAAGATCATTTGAGTTTAATTTAATGACTTTTTGTGTAGTTTATCCTAAATTTTAAGTATGATTAATAACATGTAATATCATTATGGGCCGGTACTAAGCCGATCCAGATTCGGCCCAATTTATAACTACAATAATTCACACTACTTTTTAGCTCAAATCAACCAAAATTCACACTGAACCTAGCGAAAACCCTTCCCCCCTATTAAAATCAAACCCCTGATGTCCCCTCAAACATGATGCCCTGGGCTAAGACCCATCTGGTACATGTATTGGGCCGGCCCTGATTGAACACTCAATGTCTTTAGTACTGAGCTCGTTGGCTAAATGTATCTACCACAATGCTAGATTCCTCTTCACCTTTAGTTGTTGTTCTCAACACATTATGAACAACCAATGACTCTCCTTTATTTGGATGTACACCTTCAGTTCTTCCGGATAATCGTGATAAACATGTTTTAATAGAAAACCAGCAACTCCAACATTAATTCCACCCTCATTTGGTTCAATTATCTCACTAATATCAGATTGATCAGTAAGACTACCTTCCGATATATCAAACTGGTTGTGGGCACCTTCCGGAGTCTTCATCTAGTCTCCCACTTCCTCCTGTAATCCTGTTACAGCCAATCATAAACTGCATTCAACAATTCTTCAACCGCACGTCGTAGCTCAGCCCATTATGTTTCTTGATACTGATTTCCTCAGCATTTGAGCTCTAATGCATCCAACAATGACATAACATTAAACCTTACTTTATACCGTAGGATCTATAGAGGCTCTGATTATCAAATTCAATGTGGTTAAGAGGGAAAAACAACAACAAATGAAAGAAGATGGAACTTCGGAAAACTTAAGGTTATAAAAACCTCTAGTTTCTTTGTAGTAATTCAAGAAATAATAACAATGATAATTCCCAAATAACCCTCTAGTATAGTATTTATAATAAAACAATCACCACCGGTACCTTTTTCTTTCTACTAAAACATTCACCAAGAGTCCTATCCTGATCACATAACTATTCAAAAGAACACAAAAGATAAGACTGAAAAAGACCAATAATAAAAAAAATAATCCTAAAAATAAAATAATTAAATTAATCTTGGATGCTCCTGTACTCTGTTTTGAAAATCGGATCGGATCGGCCAGTTCAACCGGTTCAACCGGGAATCGTTGCTTAGTCCGGTTTAATCTAAACCGGTTGAACCGCTATTAGTGAGCCGGCCAGAACCGCTGAACCGTTCGAACCGGATCGGCTGAAAACCGGAAAAAACCGGAAAAAGCCGGAAAAAATCGGGATTTTTGTTTTTTTTTTAAAAAAAATTAAACCAAACAACGTCGTCTGTTAAACGAGCCAAGTCGAACTCGAGTATTGCTGAGCTCGACTCGAACTTGAAAACTTTAAAAGTAAGCTCAACTCAACTCAAACTCACAAGCTAAAAATTATCAAGTTCAACTCAAACTCGAAATATAATATTGAAACTTGAACTCAAAAAGGCTTGAACTCAAAAAAAAATTAGAAGCTCAATTGAAGCCTAAAATTCGAGCTTGATTGAAGTGAAAAAATAGTTATATAATTATAGTTATATAATTTTATTATGATTTTTTTAACCTCAAATTTATTTTTTAATTATAGTTATATAATTATATTTATTATTTAATATGATTTACCTTAAATATTATGTTGTAGTTAATTTGAATCATTTTGTTTCACTTGATTTTATGGTTTTTAACTTATATATGTTATGACTTGCTTTGAATATGACTTGTGATATAAAAAATTATTTTTTATTAAATATTTTTGGTATTTTTATTTAATTTTTTAAATTTTTATGACGTCGTCCGGTTCTTCCGACCGGTCGGACCGGTTTTTAACTTATATATTTTTGGTTTTTAACTTACCTTGTTACCGAAGCTCATTGATCGTGCCAATGAAAAGGGATGGCGCAGATAATATCCTTTTTGAATATCTGTTGATTACATACCTAGACACACATGCTTTGACTGATTATAGAGCTCAATAGTTGCATTTTAGGTGTTATGGACAAATATATGAAAATGCAATAATAGTGTTAATAGTTTTTATACTCGACCATGTTTTCTCAACATATGTTCTTGAAGGGGCTAAAATGCTAAAGCAATAATCGTAAACGTAAAATTACATTACGTTTGTTTGAAATGGTCAATTGCTGATTTACTGATGTATCTCAAAAGATTACTGGTAGCCCTACTTGTACTTCAAAAGGTTACCGGTAGCTCTACTATGTTCATTATGGAAGTTCTTTCATATACATTGGACAGATGTAGGGCATACACGTTCGCCTTATTTTTGCTTCTAAATTCATCATTTTGTATTTTAATGTAATGGAATTATGCATGGTGCTTGCTTATATCTTGGCTTTAACGGGTTACTTTTGCCTTCATGCTTCTGAAACCAATATCTGAGTAACCATGTTGGTATTGGGATTTGGGCATGAAACATTTCTTAACGAACCGTAGGCTTCTGAGATCCCAACATGCCTCCCGCCATAACCGTCTGAGAGTTTTAGCACTATTAGGTATATTTCTTAATTAATACGTCATAACTACTAGTTAAGTATTTGTTTGAAAAAATCTCAATTATTTGTTTGAATTTGAAACTTCTAGCAATTATCCCCTTAACTAATTGAAATCGTTTGTCTCATTCCACTCTTATTAGATAATCTTTTGCAATCGAATGATATAATGATATTTCGGATCTTGCATTACCATAGGTAATATAACATTATCGATAGGGCATATAAATGAACCAAACGTTCAACGAAAAGTTCGTTTATGTTCGTTTATTTATTAAACGAACGAACATTAACAGATTTTATGTTCGTTTAATTAAATAAATGAACACGAACAAATGACTCGTTCATTCATTTACCTTCATGAACATTTGGTAACGATCGTTTATGTTCGTTTATTTATGTTTTTTACGTTCGTTCGTTTATGTTCATTCCTTTATATTTAGTCTAACCCCCAAACCCGTTTAAAATATTAAGATTTAATAAATTTTAATCTTAAACCCATTAATATTTTAAAATTCAATTAATTTTAAACTCAAATAAAAACCCAAATCAATCAAATAAAATATAAACTCTAAAATTATTTGGAGAGAAAAAACTATTCTAAAATATAAACTCAATTAATTTTATGTTCGTTTGTTTACGTTCAATTATGTCCGTTCGTTTGTATTCATTTAAGTTGTTTGTTCGTTTATCTTCGATTATGTTCATTCGCTTATATTCGTTTACGTTCATTCATTTGTGTTTGTTTATTTTAACGAACGAATATGAACGAACACGAACAAGTTGTATTTCTTAATGAATGAACACAAACAAAAAATTATGTTTGTTTAGTTGTTCATGATCGTTCGTTTATTCACTTAAAGTTAAATGAACAAACATAAATATACTTTCATTTATGTTCGTTCGATTCATTTACAATCTTATCGTACCAAATTCATGGATGATTGAATCGGATTTTATGAAAAATCAATATACATGTTTTTTAATTGGTGAAATATTATTCCATGTATTCTTCTTACTATGTCATCGATGATTTCGTTTAATCACATGATGCCACCTAATGTTAGCTTTACATATCATATCTGAGTCGTATGCCCCCGATTCCTATTCAATCATATATTGAATTCTTAAATTCAATATAAAAAACCAAAATTTCCTAATTATTAATTTATGAAATTAAAATTTATTTAAAATAAAAAAACACAAATCATTACAACTTTATACTTTATTACCACTGCTGATCATCAATTATCAGAGGATGAACTAAGTCCGACATGGGAGTAAGTCCATCCTTAATATTTTGTAAATATATATATATATATATATGAATACAAGGGGGAAGCCAGGTTAAATGGCCGTAGTTACGTTCCTATCTTCATGCAGAAGAGCTTCAACACAAGCAGCCGGCTGCTCATAACGGGTAATGCCAAGAGGTTGATGTTGAAAATACATCAAGTGGCCAAATTGAAGGAAAAAACAAAACAAATTAATTCCACCGAAAGTTTGGTTGAAAAAGTTGAATGGTAAAATCTCAATTTTAGTCATTGTAATTTAATGTATTTACAAATTAGTCCTTAAACTTCAACTATAAATACCCTAACTCATTTAACTTCAAAATCATCCCAAAGCATTCTATCTTTCTTCCAATACTAGAGAATTTAGAGAGTTTCTTGAGAGTTGTTTTCTCCTTTTTATCAAGAGAGAATTATCATTGTTTTCTCCTTGGTAGATCGAGAAAAGTTGTAATTCCTATTTTCTCATAGTGAAATTCTTCTACCGTTGCCTGTGGTTTTTATCCTATATTATTTAGGGGTTTTCAATGTAAATTTTATGTATCTTTTATCTTCATTTTTATTTTCTCAAATTATCGGTTGTGATTTTTCTCTATTCGATAGCCGTCTTCCGTAACAATTGGTATCAGAGCCAGATTTGAGTGTGTAATATTGTTTATTGTCTTTGTGGTTGTCACCAAAAGGTGGATCATCCAACATAAGAAAGTAAGAAGGTATTACTCATTCTTTGAAGGTTCCAGAGAACTATTCACGATAGTGAAATAGTGAGAGCTATCCATAATAGAAGCTATGGCAACGAAATTTGATATTGAAAAGTTAAATGGGAGAAATTTCTAATTGTGAAAATTGAAGATGAAGGCCATCCTGAGGAAAGATGGTTGTCTAGCAGCTATCAGTGAAAGGTCGGTAGATTTCACAGATGACAACAAATGGATCGAAATAGACGAGAATGCTATGGAAAACTTTCATCTAGCATTAGCAGATGAAGTGTTGTCAAGCATCGAGGAGAAGAAGATAGCTAGGAGATATGAGATCATCTCACCAAATTGTACGAGGCCACATCGTTGCACAATAAAATTTTCCTTACGAGGAAATTGTACACTCTCCGGATGCCAGAATCTACTTTAGTGACGGAATACTTAAACACGCTGAACACTTTATTTTCTCAGCTTACATCCCTAAGATGTACAATAGGAGAACAATAACGTGTTGAACTTCTACTTCAAAGTCTACCTGATTCGTATGATCAACTTATCATCAACTTGACAAACAGTAATGTCACCAGTCTAGTCTTCGATGATGTTGCAGTTGTTGTTCTACAAGAAGAAAACCGGCATAAGAACAAGGAAGACAGACAAGTAAATTTGCAACAAGCAGAAGCGTTGACAATGATGAGAGAGAGATCAACGGAACGTGGCCAAAGTAGCAGTCACAAACATGGTAGATCAAAGTCGAGAAGCAAGAAGAATTTAAAGTGCTACAACTGTGGAAAGAAGGGTCACTTGAAGAAGGATTGTTGGAGTCTAAATAAAAACTCCAATCCACAAGGCAATACCGCAAACACTTCAGATGATGGAAATGCTCTATGTTGTGAAGCGTCAACCACCGTGGAAGGTAGAAAGAGATATGCAGATATATGACTCATTGTTCGGGAGCAACATACCACATGACCTCAAGAAAAGAATGGTTCCATCATTATGAACCTATCTCAGGAGCATCTGTGTATAGTTGCAATGATCATGCCTTAGAGATCGTTGGCGTGGGAACCATCAAATTGAAGATGTATGATGGAATAATTAAAGTTGTTCAAGATGTGCGGCACGTGAAAGGCCTGAAGAAAAATTTATTATCCTACGGATTGTTGGATAATAATGCAAGCAAGATTGAAACACGGAAATGAATCATGAAGATGTTACGTGGAGCGCTTGTGGTGCTGAAAGGCAAAAAGATAGTTGCAAACTTGTACATGCTAAAGGGAGAGACTTTGCTAGAAGCAGAAGCCTCTGTTGCCTCATGTAGTTCAGATTCTGTAATGCTATAGCATCAGAAACTTGGACACATGTCTGAACAAGGAATGAAAGTCCTTGTGGAGCAAAAATTACTTCTAGGCTTTGTGTGAGCATTGCATAACAAGTAAACAACACCGGTTGAAATTTAATACGTCAAATTCTAGAGGCAAAAGTGTTATAGAATTAGTTCACTCTGACGTATGTCAAGCACCAGTTACATCCCTAGGCGGAGCAAAATACTTTGTCACATTTATTGATGATTACTTCAGGAGATGTTGGGTGTACCCTATTACGAAGAAGTCAAACGTGTTTTCAACTCTCAAAAACTTCAAAGAGCAGGTGGAACTTGATTCTGGAAATAAGATCAAGTGTTTCAGAATAGATAATGAAGGAGAATACACAAACGAAGAATTTGATGACTTTTGCAGGAAATAATGCATCAAAAGATAGTTCAGAGTGGCGAACACTCCTCAACAAAATGGAGTGGTAGAGCGGATGAACTTAACCTTGTTAGAAAGAACAAGAGCAATGTTGAAGGATGCAAGCCTAGAAAAATCATTCTGGGCAGAAGTAGTCAATACTGCCTGTTATTTGGTGAATCGAGCTCCATCAACTGCAATAGAGCTGAAGACACCAATGGAGATGTGGACTGGTAAACCAGCTGATTATTCAAACCTCCATGTATTTGGAAGTATTGTGTATGTGATGTACAACTCCCAAGAAATTTCAAAGCTAGATCTAAAATCCAGGAAATGCAAATTCATGGGGTATGCTGATGGTGTAAAGGGGTATCACTTGTGGGATCCCACTGCCCGTAAAGTGATCATTAGTAGGGATGCTATCTTTGTAGAAGATATGCTACAAAGAAAAGAAGAAGATGGTAGCGCTGAAAAGTCAGAGACTACACATATACATGTGGAAAAGGAGTTTGAACAAGGAGATTTTTCTGAAGTAGAACCAGAACATTATGAACAAGAACCAGAGAGTTCTGAAGCTCCAACAACTCGTCAATCAGATCATGTGAGAAGACGTCTCAATTGGCACTCAGATTATGTTATAGAAGGTAATATTGCATACTGCCTTTTAATAGAGGACAGTGAGCCATCAACATACCAGGAGGCAATAATCAGCTCAGATGCTTCACTGTGGATGATGGCGATGCAAGAAGAAATTGAAGCCCTTCATAAAAATAATACATGAAACCTTGTGTCACTACCACAAGGAAGGAAGCCAATTGGTAACAAATGAGTCTTCAAAATCAAGCGAAATGGTGATGATCAAGTGGAGAGATATCGTGCAAGACTGGTGGTCAAAGGATATACTCAAAAAGAAGGTATTGATTTCAATGAAATCTTTTCTCCTATGGTTCGACTAACAATAGTTCAAATAGTTTTGGTAATGTGTGCTACATTGAACTTACATCTAAAGCAACTAGATGTTAAAATAGATTTTCTTCATGGAAATCTTGAAGAAGAGATTTACATGTTCCAGCCTGAAGGTTTTGAAGAATATAAAAAAAAGAACTTGGTTGAACAAATCTCTGTACGGTCTAAAGCAGGCGCCGATGTGTTAGTATAAGAGATTTGATTCCTTCATTATGTGCCTTGGATACAACAGACTTAATGCAGACCCTTGTGCTTATTTCAAGAGGCCTGGTGATAACGATTTTGTTATATTGTTGTTGTATATGGATGACATGTTGGTTGCAGGACCCAACAAAGATCATATTGAAGAATTGAAGTCACAACTGTCTAGGGAATTTGAAATGAATGACTTGGGATCAACAAACAAGATTCTAGGGATGAAAATTCACCGAGACAGAAGTAATAGGAAGATTTGGCTATCACAAAAGAATTACTTGAAGAAGATCTTGTCACGATTTAGCATGCAAGATTGTAAGCCAATTTCTACCACTCTTCCTATTAACTTCAAATTATCCTCCTGTATGAGTTCTAGCAGTGAAGAATAGAGGATGGAGATGTCTCGAGTACCGTATGCATCAGCAGTCAGAAGTTTAATGTTTGCTATGATATGCACAAGACCATACATTGCACAAGCAGTGGGAGTGGTTAGTTGGTACATGGCGAATTCAGGAAAAGAGCATTGGAATATGGTAAAGAGGATCCTGAGATACATCAAAGGGACCTCAAATGTTGCATTATGTTATGGAGGATCAAACTTACTTACCAATGGGTATGTCGATTCTGACTATGCAAGGGGATTTGGATAAAAGCAAATCTACTACAGGATATGTGTTCAAAGTTGCTGGTGGAGCTGTAAGCTAGGTTTCAAAATTGCAGTCAGTTGTGACTACATCCACAACAGAAGCGGAATATGTAGCTGCTACACAAGCCAATAAAGAAGCAATTTAGTTGAAGATACTATTGGAGGAGCTTAGGCATAATCAAGAGTATGTCTCTCTGTTTTGTGACAGTCAAAGCGCCTTGCATTTAGCAAGGAATCCAACATTTCATTCAAGGACAAATCACATATGAATTCAATACCATTTCATTCGTGAAAAGGTGGAAGAAAGGACGGTAGATATGCAGAAAATCCATACCAAAGACAACATAGCAGATTTCATGACAACAGCGATCAATGGTGATAAATTTACTTGGTGTCGATCCTCTTGTGGCCTTACAGAAACGTAAGCAACATGAAGGTACAAGGTAGAAAGAATGATGTGAAGATATGATTGTTCTAATAAAATCTTTATATTGTTGAAAAAACATCAAGTGGCCAAATTGATGGCCACTTTTGGTGGAGAATTGAAGGAAAAAACAAAACAAATTAATTCAGCCGAAAAGTTTGGTTGAAAAAGTTGAATGGTAAAATCTCAATTTTAGTCATTGTAATTTAATGTGTTTACAAATTAGTCCTTAAACTTCAACTATAAATACCCTAACTCATTTAGCTTCAAAATCATCCTAAAGTATTCTATCTTTCTTCCAATACTAGAGAATTTAGAGAGTTTCTTGAGAGTTGTTTTCTCCTTTTTATCAAGAGATAATTATCATTGTTTTATCATTGGTAGATCGAGAGAAGTTGTAATTCCTATTTTCTCATAGTGAAATTCTTCTACCGTTGCCCGTGGTTTTTACCCTATATTATTTAGGAGTTTTCCACGTAAATTTTATGTCTCTTTTATCTTCATTTTTATTTTCTCAAATTATCGGTTGTGATTTTGTTCTATTCGATAGTCGTCTTCCGCAACAGTCGACTCCAAGTTGCCTTTGTAATTTCATCAGCAGCTTTATTACCACCACGATTTCTATGGTTGAACTGAACAATCCATCCCCTCGAAAGCATCTCCTTTAAGTGGCTCACCAAATGTGAAATTCCGGCCATATTCGCACCTTGCTGGAGTAGTAGAAACGCCTCCCTGCAGTCGGTTTCCACAATCACTCAGCGAGCGCCAATATCCCAAGCCAAACTCAAGCCTTCATAAACTCCCCGAAGTTCCGCATCCAAGACCGAGCAAACACCAAGACATTTTGAGAAGCTGGAAATCCATTGCCCCAGAAAATCACGGATAATCCCTCCACACGCCGCAAGGCCCGTAGCATGTTATGCGTCACATATTAAAGTTTAAATTGCTATGTACTAAAGATGAAGATCTTTAGTTAACACAAATTATAATACCATTGATTAAGTTAATTAAGTGACAAATAATACATAAATATATTACCATTAATTAAATAAATAAATCAAATTATTTTATCTTTAATTAATTTAAATTAATTAAATAATAAAATAGTTCAATTCTTGCAAATCACATGTCATACTTTACAAGAACTCTCTCATACATAACCCACTAGAACTATATTAAAAGAGTTTATCTACAAAGTCATTCATTCACAAGTTGAAAAATATATAAATTCTGCTATCAACGATTTTTTAAAATCATCTTTTAATTATACGTCCGTCCAAGTGAACTCATTCATTCAAGAATAAAATTTAACCTTATTACCGGTAAACAGGTATGAATCTAAGCGGAAGCGGGTGGGACGATCGCTTCCCCTAAAAATAAAAGACATTTTTTATGTGACTGTTGGATATATTTCCTCTCTCTTTCGCTCTTCCAAGGCTGAACCTGACGAAGCAATTCTTAGCATCGTCCGCAAATGCATCTCATCGGAGGAGAATATCAAGCTGTGTAAGGAGTTCACCCCGAAGGAAGTCTTGGCCGCTTTCTCCCAAATCAACCCGTCCAAAGCTCCCGGAATTGATGGTATTCCTAGTGGTTGCTTTCGCACCTTTTGGAATATTATTGAAAATGATGTGTGTCTCTTTGCCTTAGCCTTTTGAATGGTCATGTAAATTTTGAAAATATAAATCGTATTGTTGTTGTTCTTATTCCTAAACTTGATTGTCCTCGTTCCATGAAAAACTTTCGTCCGATTAGCTTATGTTTGACCATCTATAAGGTGGTGTCTAAGACTATACTTAACCGTTTAAAGTTAGGTATGTCCATATGTATTGCTCCTAACCAATATGCGTTTGTGGTCCTTTTGGTGGTTCGGAAAGAGGGACAAGCGTGGGTGGGCTCTCGTATCTTGGAAAAACCGCAATGGGGGACTTGGTTTCCGTGATTTGAAACTATTTAATTCAGCCTTGATGAGAAACCATGTTCGGAGATTTATTCAAGATCAGGAGTTGATTACGTTTCAAATGTTCAAAGCTAAATATTTTCTCAACTCTTCTTTCTTATAGACAAAACTTGGAGAGAAAGCCTCCTATATGTGGACAAGTATTTTTAAGGCAAAGGAAGCTCTAGGTGAAGGTTTTTTTTTGGAGGATTGGTTTTGATGGTGAAGCTAAAATGTTCTTCGATAGGTGGGGCGACTCTCCACCACTCACCCTGTAGGCCTCCTATGTGGATAATCTAGAAGCTCCCACCAAGTGTTTAGATTTTATGACCAATGAAGGAGCTAGATGGAATAAAAGGAAGGTTAAAGTAGTTCTAACCCCCCAAAGATACAAGCAAGGTTTTAGGCATGCTATCTTTCCCACCCCTCATGATAGACTTATTTGGAGCCACCACAACACAAGATGTTACTCGACAAAATCAGGCTACAACAGGCTCCTCATAAGGCACCCCTCGTGATCAAGGGAAAATTTGGAAACTCTTAACTAAGATCCCGACTTTGCCAAAAATAAAATTTTTTGGATGGAGAATTTGTCATGATGTAATACCCACCGAGAAAAAGCTTTGCAATGCTCGTCTTTCTAATGGGATATATCCTTTGTGCAACTTGGAGTTGGAGTCAACAATTCATACCTTAAAAAATTGTCCTAAGTTTCGCTCAACTATCATGTTATCTAGGCTCAATATTTCAATCATTGATTGGCAAGGACATTCGCGCAAGGAGTGGTCGGAATGGACGACTTGCCAATTGTATCAAGAGTTCACATGAATGCTTGTTCTTTTATGGAACATATGGAATCGACGTAATAAATGAGTACATGATGATAAAATACAGAAGGACTGGGATGTAGTGGCTGCGGTTTGGGGCCTTTGCTCAGAGTTTGTCAGAGCTAATGACACTATTTGTGCTCCGAGACCTTCGCATGTGATGAATAAGATATGCCTATGGAATCGATCGATACTGAAAGCTATAAAGATTAACATTGATGGGGCTTTCTGTGCAAATACTAATGAGGTTGTGGTTGGTTTAGTTGCAAGGGATCAATACGAGTTGGTTCTTGGTGGGATGGCTCGCAAACTTGACCCACCTTTCACTGTTGAATAAACGAAAGCTATTGCATTCACTTTTGGACTTAGGTTCGTGGTTGAGAATGGGTGGCACCGTGTAGTTGTTGAAGGATGACGCTATCTCAATTGTGAACTGGATTGCAAATCGAAGGGAGGATATCTCTTCCATCGGATTGATGCTCAACGAGGTCCGTGCGATCATCGAAAACAATCAAAGGTTTCAAAGTTCTCTATGTCAACCGAGAGTCCAACAAGGTCGCTCATTCGCTCTCCCATTGGGCTTTATCGAGTACCAATCTGTATCGGTTTTATTATGATGAACCTGATTGTATTAAACAAATTGAAATTCTTGATGCAGTTGGAATAATCTTACGTCCGTCTCTGCCAGTAAACACACGACATTGTTATTCAAATTTTTACATTTTAAAAAAAAAAAGGAAAATAATCATTTAATTATATTAAAATAATATTTTAATTATTAAAGTTTTAAAAATTAAAAATATTATTAAGTTTATGGAGTTACTATAAAATAATTATTAAATTTTATTAAATTAATATAAAATAATTATTAAAATTTATTAAATTGTTACAAAATATTCTTTAAACTTATTACAAATTTTCAATTTCTTATAAAATAAAATAATTATTTATCACAATTCTATAAATTTAATAATAATTTTAAAAAATTTAATAATTGAAAATATTAATTTAACATAGTTTAATAATATACTTTACCCTTAAAAATGTAGTACTATTTTTTTTGGTAAATTACATATTTAATTATCTAACTATTTTCACAGTTATATTTTGATTTTTTTAATTCATACATGAAATTATGTTTTTATTATGTTTCGGTTAGCAGTCATTAAAAAATAAACAAAACTATTAACATGATTTTTTTTAATTTTTTAATGATAACATAATATTACCTTATAGTTACACGTCAATATCACAATTAATTTTTTTAATGAAAAATGATAAAAATAGAATTAAAACATAATTTTATGTATGGTTTTTTTAAAAAAAATAGTTAGATAACTAAAATAAAATCTTCTAGAAAATAGTATTTGTTTTTTTTAATTAGAAAAATTATGCATTTAGTACCTACACTATCAGTTTTGATCCATTTTAGTACCTAAACTTTTAATTTTTCAAAATCATACCTAAAGTTTAGTTTTTAGTGTCTTGTTCAAAATTTAACGTTAATTTTTAAAAAAATTGAAAGTTTAGGTACTAAAACGAATAAAAACTGATAGTTTAGGTACTAAAACGAACTAAAACTGATAGTTAGGTACTAAATGTGTTAAGTTTTTAACGATAGACAGGGACAGACGAATGATTTTATGTTATGGGCAAACTTAAACTTAGAGATGACCTAAAATTTTAGGGGTGATCTAAAATTCTAGGGGGAAACATGTTATCAATTAGAAATACAAAGAAAAAAATTAAAATTTATAGTAATTTTAAATTTTCAGGGGGCGACTGCCCTAACCCTCTCCCTCGATCCATCCCTAACAATAGGGTACTAAAATGAAACAAAAACTAAATATTAGGTATGATTTTAAAAAATTAAAAGTTTAAGTATTAAAACGAAAATACTGATAATTTATGTATTAAATACGTAGTTTACCTTTTTTTTTATATAAATTATGTTGATAATCATAATGTGTAAATATCTAGCCAATGCCGCATGACGTGTTCTTATCCATAGACCACAAGTCATTCATATATTTCCCCCTCTATTTTCCTGTACTTTCTTCCAAATTTCCATTCCATCCAAAACCCAGTCTGTTCTTAACAAAAATGGCGCGCACTCTGTTAGCTTCATCTCAAACAAGCTTTCACCACCCAATCTCACTCTCAGACTCATCATTTTCATGCCCTTCTTCTTCTTCTTCTTCTTCAGCTTCATCATCAGTTTCTCTCTTCACTCTCTCAAAGCCACGAATCCCTTCTTTCAAGTCCAGTTTCTTGAACCCAATTGGGAACAGTTTCAAGTGCATTGAAATGGAACCCAGGAAAAGGAGCATCGGTTCGCTAACAGTTCGAATGTCATGGGACGGTCCACTTAATTCAGTTAAAATAATCATACAGGGCAGAAATCTTGAGGTAATTTGTCTCTTGTTAACTAGGTTGTTTAGAAAAAAAAGAAGAAGATCTAGTTTAAGTCTTTTATTTACTCAATTGTGATATTTCTCTGACTTTTTTTTGTAACCCTTCATTGTTTTACAGATAATGCATCTTTTCATATTTTACTTGAAGCATGTGATAGACCAAGTTTTGATTTTACTTATGATACCTTTAGTGTGGCATATATTTGCTCTTGCTTATGGTACCAGCCAGAGAGATCTAAGATTTTATGTTGGGGTGCAAATGTAAGAAGTTGTATTAAAAGTTTAGGGATGCGAAATTATGAAATTCCAGCACGCGAAATCAGTAATCAGTAGAAAATACAAAGAAAATACCTAAACTATATTATAGTTTAGGGATGCTGTAATGAACTTCTTTTCATGAGATTCAGTTAACAGATACAGTTAAGCAGCATGTTGAGGAGAAGGTTGGTAAGGCAGTTCAGAAGCATAGTCACCTCGTGAGAGAAGTCGATGTTAGATTGTCTGTTCGAGGCGGAGAATTCGGGAAAGGTCCCAGGATTCGAAGATGCGAGGTACTTTCCGAAATCGGGATATTTGTTAGTTGTGGCCATGTTTGGTTTTTGGAATTTTAGACGCTTATCCTACTTCTTGCTCTGATGGGTTTTTGTTGAAGGTAACTTTGTTTACGAAGAAGCATGGAGTGATTCAAGCAGAAGAAGATGCCGAGACGGTATACGGGAGTATAGATTTGGTATCCTCGATTCTACAAAGAAAGTTGAGGAAGATTAAGGAGAAAGAATCAGACCATGGCCGCCACATGAAAGGCTTCAATAGATCAAAAGTCAGAGAGCCAGTGGCAGTAGTAGTAGATGACGACATAGAGGCAGATACTGAGCAAGTAGCAGTAGATGATGATGTCGAGGCAGTTCCCGAGCAGGAGGATGATAGCTTTATAGATGAGGTTCATTTCATCAGATTTTAATCTATTGGTTTGTTTATGGTATTAGTTTTATTGCAGATATTTTTGTGTTTTCCATTTGATGCTTGGCTGCATGACATGATTGCAAGGGCTTTTAAATTTTTGTCCTTCTTTTGAGTTCATCAACCGTCATTAATGAATTTCGTGTTCGTGTCCTGATTGGTCTCGCAATTTGTATTCAAGAAGGTCCGGAGTAATATGTAGATGATTATCATTAGAAATTTGTATCGAGAAATCAAGCAAATTGATCCTGTTCCCAAAGTGCTTTGTCGATTGGTTCCGGCACTTGTTTTCTTTTTCCTCCATTAATGCAACTGCATTGCGAATGTTTCAGATTGTTCGTACCAAATACTTTGAAATGCCACCACTTACCGTCTCTGAAGCAGTTGAGCAACTCGAAAATGTTGATCACGACTTCTATGCTTTCCGCAATGAAGAAACAGGTATGATGTTTTCCGTGCCCTACTCATTTCTTCAAGACTGGTTTTATGAGCTAATAAAAAAGTATTCTGTTATGTGCTTGGCTCAGGTGAGATTAATATCCTATACAAAAGGAAACAAGGAGGATATGGACTTATTATACCCAAAGGAGACGGTAAAGCCGAGAAATTAGAGCCGTTGGTAGTCGAATCTGCGAATTAGCACTCTTTCATGGAATAAGTGTCTCGTTTTGTGAGACAGAGATATCAATCATCTGTAGATTTTCATGGCAATACTATAGATGAAGATCAATCAGAGGCATGCATGTAGAGAGACATAGTACAAGGTTTAAGATTAGGCGAAGACACCTTCAATTGCCTTATGTATCGGAATATATGAGAATATCACCATGCAATCTGTATAGCATTGCTTAATTTGCTCAATTTTCACTCTTTTGATAAGTTGGTTTTAACTTGCCTTTTTCTGTCTTTGCTTTAGTTATGCAGTTTGTCTAAAAGTCTAAATTATACATCTTTTTCAGGTGCCTAAACTTTTTTACAGTCAATATAGGTGCTTAAGGTCACTTTCGGTTGGCACTTAAAATGATAAAGTTCAAACGTTATATTGGCCGAAAAAAGCTTAGATACCTAAATGAGAAAAAAATATAGTTTATATACTTTTTTATATTAAGTCTAAAAATGAGTTGCAGGGTGCAAGTGTAAAATCTTAGTTCTAGTTCGAATCCTATCCGCGTTGGAAGAGATAATAAAAGTTGGATTTTTTTAGAGTGGGTACCAATCAAGCGATATCAGTGATTAAGAGATTCGTTGTTATTTTTTGAGATTTTGAGTTCGAATAATGTGTATGTTAAGAGTATGAACGTTCATTGTCACATGGTTGACAATCTTTAAATAAATATTAGTATTCACTTCAAATTTATCAAAAAATAAAAATAAATCTGATAATTTAATATTTAATAAAGATTAAGATAGTTTGAGTGATAACAAAATTAGGCTTAAAACTGTGTTCTCTTTCATTAAATATAGTTCTCCGTATTTAACGTATTCTAATTCTTATTTATTTGCTCATTTCAAAAAACTCAAACTTCTTTTATATCTTCTAACGCCGACAGGACTCGAACTAGGGTTTTCACACCTCACTTTTTATAAAAAAAAACCCAAATTTCAAAGTCGGTTCTGATTTCCCTCCAAAAACAACAAATTTTGTTTTCTCCTCAGCCAATCAGAAAACATAATTTGTTTCTTGTTTCAAGTCTTCAATTTTTTCCGAAGAAAAAAACAATCTCTTTTGTTCTGTTAACAGATCACATCAATGGCTTCGCGTTTCCAGGCGATAACACTGGTGGATTCACCATCGTACCCTAACTCCATCGCCTGGTCCGACGAGAACCTGATTGCCGTTGCATCCGGTCACCTCGTTACTGTTCTGGTAAGTTCTTGACGTTTCAGTTTTTCTCGCTATATAAATTGCTACAATCACATTGCTTTAGAAAAAGTTTAATGTGTGGGTGGGTGCTGTATTTTTGTGTTTAGTTGAGATAACTACAATTAAAGAAGGAAAAGAAACATAAAAGTAAAAAACTTTGTGTTTTGTTGCTTAGAACTAAAACTGATTGTGGCCTTCTTGTTTTTTTGTCAATTACATCTTTTTATCAGAATCCGGCATTGCCCTTTGGACCTCGAGGCCTGATCAGTATTTCCAAGAGTGAACCTTACTCCATTGGGGTTGTAAAAAGAGAAGGTGCTTTCTAGAATTCTGATCAGTGTGCTTCAATTGCCTCAAATTTATTGTTTTTATAAGCCTCAAAAGGTTGAGATAATTTAACCATTGTTGCATTTGGCTATTTACTTTACATATAACTTAAATTGATGTCTCATCAGATCTAGCATCTGGCTGTTTGTTACCGACTACTTTAAGTCGGGATTCTCGTCCTTCTGTTCGGTCAATTTCTTGGTCTCATCTTGGAATGGCTCCTAACTCTGGGTAAGAATATGAAAGATATCATTGCATGATTCCCTAGTTTTCTGCACTGCATATCCGTACTTTTGTACAATTGCTTCAATAAAATGCAACTGTATGTAGGTGCTTGCTGGCTGTTTGCACCACAGAAGGGCGTGTAAAGCTCTATCGTCCTCCCTTTTGTGATTTCTGTGCTGATTGGATAGAGGTATGTACTCTAGTTGGGATGAACTTTTTGGTCTCTATAGCAAGTTGTAGTTACCATGAAATGTTTGAAGCCACAGAATCGAAGTAGGTACTCAAATGTTTGGGTAGTTTGTTTGAAACTTGGTGAATACCGTAACAAAATTAGAAAGAACGATGAAATATATTTTGTGTAGCCAGATTCTATATTAATTGACGTAGTGGAGATTAATTCTGTATTGATGATAAAGGGGGAACATGTTAGACCAGAATTTTCTGTTTAAATGCAATTATTGTTAATGACATGCTCTTGCTCAAATTTTCTGTAGGTTTTGGATATAACTGATAGGCTTTATGATTATCTTGCAAGTATTAGTTTTGAGGATCCAGATATTCCTCCCTCAGAAATTTCTAGTGTAAGTCCTTTCTTGTATTAATGGTTTCTATCTCATTCTAAACAATACATGAAAAATCTTATATACGCTTCCATTAGCATCGGAGAGGGAGATATGATTTTTGTTCAAAAATAGTTTCTTCTGCTCTCCATCTCTCTGTTGATTAGCATTCTTTTTATCAAGTTAATACCAATGTCATGCTTTTCACTCGGAATTTTGAAAACTAGCATGCCTCTGGTTTGGTTTCAAATGCCAGTGAGACCTTATCTGTGCTCTTTGTGACTTTATTTCAGAGTAGATCCATGGAATCTGAAGGGCGAAAAAGTTCACATCAGCCAGTTCCTGCTATCCAAACTAGAGGGAGACCCGACAAGCAAATACCTGAAGTTTGTAGCCTACCTTTGATAACTGCAGATCAATATGCTTCACGTAGTGCAATGCTATCATCACTTGTTGTTGCCTGGTCTCCTCTGCTTAAATTATCATTTGAAATTTGTGGGGCTCCTGAAAATAAATCATCCAACTGCTTCTCTCTTCTAGCGGTTGGTTCAAAGCCTGGTAAAATTTCATTATGGAGAATTACTTCACCTCAATACTACTCAGTTGAGCGAAGTATGACCCCTACTATGGTGGAGCTCATTGGGATCCTTATGGCACACAGTTCCTGGGTCACCGCTATAAGTTGGGCCTTGCTTGCTTCTGAATCTTCTAGTCATCAAGTTTTATTAGCTACTGGGAGTTCTGACGGGAGGTGAGTTAGGTATGCTCTCACATTGTTTCAGTTTTATAATGACATTAGCATTAAAGTTTCATCTTTTGATGGGTATCCCCATATCCGAGCAAGCTTTTTGGAGATGAGATGCAAGCAAGATTAATGGAATTTTCAGCATGCCGCTTTATAGCTTTTTTACCAAGATAAAGTTGCTCCTATTTTACCAATTGTAACAGGAATTCTGGTGCTAAAAAAATACTTTTTGACAATGAATGATGCTGACTTCTCTATGGATTTAGCTTTGTAAATTTAATTACTTTATCCTTTACAAGATTATGAAATATTTGTACACTTCTTATGTACTTGCTTGTTATTCTTATGCACAGTGTAAGGATATGGGTAGGCCATTCAGAGGAAATTATGAAGTCCACTGAAGTTAATAATGCTCCATTTTATCCATTGAAGGAGGTAATAATGCTTCTGATTTTTTTTCCTTTATTGAAGGGTAACTCTTACTACTTTGTTAGTTGTATTTTCTTATTTGTTTATATTAGTCTATAGAATCTACTCTGACTTATAAATTTCTGAATAGATTACAAATATTTATGCTGTCCCAGTCTCGGTGCTTTCACTTATGCCCTCTCAGTCGCTTCATAAAATGCTCTTGGCGGTGGGCAGAACATCTGGAGCTTTTGAAGTATGGATAGGAGACACATCCGTGAAAAAGTTCAATAAAGTTGGACAATATGATGCCCATGACCAAGTTGTAAGTTCCTTCGTTTTTGTTCATTATCCTTCTTTCTGCATCTCACCATTTATTTATCTGTGATGATATGTCTTCAGGTTACTGGATTAGCTTGGGCTTTTGATGGATCTTCCTTGTACAGCTGCAGCCAGGTATAAAGCTTTTTCAAAATTCTGCTGCTTCATATTTGCTATTATTCAGTTAATATGCTGTTAAATGTTTTGTTTCTAACTTTCATGTATAGAGATTTTAGAGGTGGACTAGATGTGCTTGTCTAAAGAGTAATATCTCTAGCAGATACTACATTTTTGCAAGTTGCTTAGAATTAGCATTACATATGTTGTCTTTTTCAAATGGAAGAATTTTAAATTGCGACCGGGAGATTTTGTCAGCCATGAATATGTTCACGCCTTGCCAATATCTCTGCAACCACTCTTTAGAGCAATACATTACAAGCTTCTCCTGTACATCTTCCACTGCCACAAACAGTTATGTGTGTTTCATTAACTAATTAATTAATATCTTTGGATAATAGTCCTTGTTCATTAGTTCCAAGTCTTTAGTTGGCAAACAATGGAAATTGCATGCTGTAAGTTATAATTTATTATATGCATAAATTTCATACTCTTGAGGTCCAGGCATTTAGGATAAAATGCATAGCTACGAGTTTAATTTTTTTTCCAGGCAAGTTAATTCTCACATTTTCCTACATTCATTCATTTTTTAACCTTTATGAATGATATTAGGATAATTTTGTTCGTAGCTGGAATTTACATGGGAGTTCCCTGAGTGAAGTGCCTATTCCTTCAAGTTCTCCTGGGATGAGGAGCTTCAGTGATGTATGATGCCACCTTTGCTGGTCTTGTTTATCCTTTTTAGCTTTTTATTTTCTTTTTCAATTTTGATTAACATTTTGCAGATACCGGATGTGTTTATTTCATGCCTTGGACTGGTGGTGTCACCAAGTAATCTTGCAGTTGCTATGGTATGATGTTATTCCTAAATCTGTCTCATTTATGTTGCTACTCATCTTTTAAATTTGCTCATACTCATGTCCGCAACAAACTTGGGTGTTACAAGATTATAGCATTCTTTACCTCCCAAGTTTTTCTTGTTATATTATTTATCCCCTTTCTTATTTGGATTTCTTTTGGAACATTGTGAGACTTGTATTTTCTCCCTCATAAATGAAGGGTTACTGTTTGCGGCCTTAATGGTTATCATCTGAAAATAATCACTTCTAATACAAGCCTAAAGCATCACCGTTATCATTATTATTTGTGTATAACTACAATAAAAAAGAAATAAGAATAGTTCTCTTCAATCATGCCATTCTTACAGGCCAGTACCAGAACCTCACATTTACACTGAAGAAAGTATTAAAAGGAAACATTGCATGCCAATTTTATAGAGTATCATGCTTGATAACTATGCTGTTGATGTTTGAAGGGTTGGATCAATTTATGATATAAATAATGCATTTTATTACTTCTTTCTATGAGAACATATGGTGTAATCTCTTTGCAAGTGATGTTGCTTAAAGTAATTGCAGGTATATTAAGGGATGGTGCTGTTTATTCGATATTGAATTTGTAAAATATTTACATCTTATAGAACTAAAGACTTGTTTGTGTTTGTTTTTTGTAGGTTCGCGGTTTTGATGTTAATCAATTGGACCCAATGTATGAGGCGAGGTAAGGAACTGTTCCTGAAATTATTTCATTTAATTTGCACTCTAATATTTTATTTGTATTGTGAGAACTAGAGAATAGTTAAGTGTTGATATCATACCAGGCTATGGAGAAGCTTCACTCTTAAAGAGCAAGTGTAACACTTGGGTTAAAAACCAAGTTATATAATACTCATCGAATGAACCTCGAGTGAAGGCCAGAATAGTTTCATAGCACAGTTCAATTTTGCTTGGTTATCTGTCAGCTGGCCATGGATTCTGTGTCAATTAGAAAGTTATTGATCTTCCATGTTGCGAGTTTGTTCTTTAATGTGAAATTGTTGTTCTCCCAGTGTTTCGAACAAATGATTCAACTAAAATTAATCCGATACCATGGTAAAGATCGTTAAATTTGCATGATGGAACATCATTCCCTTGTCTAATAGGGAAAATGGGATAGTTTGTAATAGAAGGAAATGTAGATCAGTAAAGAATGGGATAAAGTAGGAAAACAGCTGCTTATTTTTGCTTCAGTTACCTTGCACTTTTATCATGTATTGATATTCTTTGAACTTTCCCAGGCTTCAGAAGGCTGTCGTTGAATTCTTTTGGATCGGTGGGCAACAAAAGGAAATTTTGTCAAGTACTTCCCTGGAGTTTGACATTGAAGCCTTCCCTGGTTTTACTGAAAAAGGACTGGTTTATTGGGAGTCCACTATTTTGTGGTCCATTATTTGCAGACGGGTAATACTGTCAGAGCTGAAGACGGATGAAATAAATAACGACTCGTTAAACTTAGGAGTAGATGATGCTAATTTTGCTCAAGATAAGCTACTTAACTTATGGATGGAGTTACTTTCGAGCAGTGAAAGAGAACTACGAGAGAGGCTTGTAGGTTTAAGTTTTTCCACCTATAAACATCTTGCATCCAGTTCATCCGCCTCTGAGCCTGGACACTGGTATCCTCTTGGTATAGCACAAATGGAGCAGTGGGCTGCCATGAATAATTGCCATGTACACAAGCAAAAAAAAGGCGTGGCAACAAAGATTAAAACCTATAAAAGGTGCTATTCGTGTGCTTATACGCGAACAATTTAATCAGATCCTTGCTTTCATAACTGATATACAAGTAATTTTTAGTATTTCTGTGTTGATGGGTAACATCCTGGTAGGCAGACATTCTTGATCATATTTGAAGAAAGAATGTAGTTTTAGTCTCTTGCATTATTGCAATCTCTCTATTTTTTCTAGGCATTTGCTGATGCCAATCTTTCTATTCTCTATTATGCCTAATTCTTCTCGAAAAGCAGGTCACGGTGGAGAAAAAGTGAAGAAGAAGATAAGGAGCGATGTAGCTATTGTTCGGCATTGGTTCCTTTTGATTCCCCGGAAGTTGCCTTGTGTAGGGGTTTGGAGAGCAATGATAGCAATGGTCAGAAGCATAAGTTAGCAAGGTGTGCTGTTTCCATGCAGGTTTGCCCTATCACTACCCCATTATGGCAATGTAAGTGTTGTGAGAGATGGATTTCCAATCTTGCACCGGAGTCGTTTTTTATGATGCCGTCCCCGTCTTCTATAAAGGTAGTCTCGAAACCGCTATGCCCCCTTTGTGGGATATTGGTTCAGAGGTCACAACCAGAGTTTCTTCTTTCTCCACTGCCTGTTTAATCTGTAGGCTTCACCTGTATGTATATTAGTGTTTAATCTGCAGGCTTCACCTGTATGTATGTTAGTGTTTAATAGGCTTGTTAATGCTTAGTTCTCAACTCTCATGTATGCAAAACGTAGCTTTCTTGTCTTATCCTAAATATTATGTCCTGTTGCTTGTAGCTAAACATGGTTATTTTTCATTTACGGGTAAACTATTCTTGTGACCATTTAATTATTGTCCTTTCTCATTTTGACCTCTAAGCCATTTACCCTTAACATTTAAGGGATAAGGTAATGTGATTGTTGGAATTTGGTATAATTACACATTTGATCCTCAATATTTATATATTCTATCAATTTAATAAATATTAATATTAATTTTAATTTAATTAAATAAATTTAATCTCCAGATGAATAATCTATTTTTTTTTGTTAGAAAGCGAAGAAGTAAAGCAAAACTAATTCATGGAAAACCCTCTAGGAAATAGAGTACCCCGAGTAGAGGTACACAAAAAATTCGAATATTCGATTTTACGTGAAAAATATCCGAAACCGGATTTGGGAAAAACCGGTTTTTTTTAAACAGGATCGGATATTTTAAAACCGGATAGTATAACCGATTTGGGAAAAAATTGGACGACCGGATTTTTTACCGGATTAAAAACTGGTTTTTTTAAAAAATCGGATTTTTTCAAACCGAAACCGGTTACATCATCCGGCCCTCCAAACCGGTTATGATCCGAACCGATTTTTTTATAAACCGATTTTTTGACTTGGTGAAAAAACCGGATCAGTTTTTATCCGATCCGGATCGGATTTAAATCCGGCTATGTGCATCTCTAACCCCGAGCATCCGCTTTAAGTTGTAGGAGAACCTCCGAGGGAGGAGAATAAAAAATGACCAACTCATCTTCAAGGAAACAACCCATTTTCGAAAGATTTCAATTCCGGGCTTTCAAGCTTCGAATGTCCTGAATGATAGCGCCCAACGGGTGTAGCCGTGTAGGGCTGTATCACCAAGATTGAGGAGCTGTAGAACCACCATAGCATCAACTTCACAAACGATATTATCATAACCATACTTCCAAGCAATTGATAATCCTGTTCGAAGCTTGAAAGCCCCGAATTGAAATTTATTAATTAAATAATTGATTTTATGTACTAAATTGTGAGTTTCTGAAATTTTTGGTCTAATTTCAAAAATCTGAGAAGTGTAGGAACTTAGCCTTGAATATCTCATTTTTATGGTTAGTTGAAAAATAAATAAAAATGGCGGCTAAGGGGGTCTAAACCTACAACCCTAAGGTAATAGACACTCATGCCCTAGCCACTAGGCTATGTTTTTATTTATGAATTAATTAATAAAATATAGGTTTTATTATAATTTTGGCCAGGGTTATATACCAAAAACCAGAAGCCCCTCCATGAAATTCCTAACCCCCTAACAGCACCCTGTTGGCCTCCCTCGATCCGCCTGTTTTGGCCGTCGTCAGTGTGCACCGTCACCACCAGCGTAATCGGTGATCTCTCGCGGACAAAACCCCATATCCCTTCGTCAAATGGTTACGCCATTCGTCGGAATCAAATGGTTGAAGCTTCGACGGAAAAGACCCCACTCGTTCGGTTATTCGTGATTTCCGATCGAATCCGATGTCGTATCGCCTCACCAACGCCACCTTCGTCCGCTCATAACTCGAAAGGTGGTCAAGTTGTCACCGTCGTTTTTCTCGTCGCCACCGTGGGTAAGCTTAGTTTTATATTTTCAGTTAATTTTCTCGTTTTTGAATAGATTTTGGTTGGATTTTTGTTTGTAATTGATGGAGTATGGTAAGTGGATGTTGTCAGAGTATTCGGTCGTCGCCCCAGATCTCGTTGTCGCCGCGTGCGCGTGGGGCTTGTCCTCACCCAGAAAACCTTCTAGAAACGGTCCAGGTAAACCAGGTTTGTTTGAGCCGACCGAGTCAACCCGAACCGTCTGACCCTTGACCTTGACCCAAATCGTTGACTTTGACTTGTCCGTTAATCGTTGACCTTCCCGTTGACTTTGGCTTTGACTGTTGACCGTTGACCGAAAAATCAAATTTTATGAAAAATCAAATTTTATGAAAAATCATATGTTTATGTTTTTCGACGTCCTGAGTCGAATTCGAAGCCCGTTTTACCAAATTCAAATCCAAAAGCCTCCGAATTGACTGTTAAACCTGAACGTGCATATGTAATTTAAGTATTTATTTTAGTATATCTGATTTAATTAAAAGGTCAAGGACTAATTTATGTTATCGTATATTTAAGGTACTCGTGGATCTCCTGACCGTTCGTCTTCTTGACCCGATTCCTCCCGATCTGTCCATTAGCGCGATCTTGTGATTACTTGTATAGCTCTGCAACCCTATTAAATATTCAGTTTAGTATATTACTCAATTATAACCTTGTTCTGATATAACCTATGTTCGAGTACAGTCGAAGAGCGTAGTGAGGCTGATGCTCAGTAGATCTCTCGGGTTGATTTTTTTTGTGAGGTGTGTTCCTTGTGTGCCATATAAATGTTTTAAATATTTGTTTGAAATACCATGTGCACATGATTATTTTCTCTGATTTGAAATCAATTGTTTGCTTTGATTTAACTACTGTATGATTTAAGTATGATTCTTGATTTACTGTATTTTAAATCATGCTTGCTTGACACATGTTCTCTGGTTATTGTTTTTACTGATAAATAAGTATGTATGAACTATGATTTCCTGCTACCAACTGTTATTGTTTGAAAAATGTTTTCTTTGGAGTACTCTGGGATCTAGTATGAAGTCTTTGTAGGTACAACTTCGGTCAAACTGGTAATTCCTTATGGACCTAAGACAACCCTTGAGTGGGCTCAATGGGCCTAGTGGTAAGATCTTATGGATCTTAAAGTACTGCCTTAGGGTGGCACCTATGCTTTGTGCAATAGGTAAGTCTTTATGGGCCTGAGGGCGCACCCCTCAGGTGGGCACCTACGCTTCGGCTAGGGTAAGACCTTATGACCCAAGGTACTCCCTTTGGTTGGCACCTACGCCCTTCGGGCTTAGGGTAAGTCATTATGGATGTAGTTCTGGGGAACTACATATGGTGTTCTGTTGGAGGGTGATTCTGTATTTTAAGCTAAAAACACTACTGATGTTTTCAAAACTTGAAATTGAGCTGATTTTGGAAACTCTATCGACGTTTCATGACTTTAATGTCGAAATGATTTTGAAATATTAATTATATGTTTATTTCTGCACTGTTGGAATACACTGAGCTCCCTAGCTCACTCCCCCAAACTTTCCTTTAGATACTTTTTGATAGGCGTAAGACCTTATGACCCAGGTACTCTCTTTGGTTGGCACCTACGCCCTTCGGGCTTAGGGTAAGTCCTTATGGATGTAGTTCTGGGGAACTACATATGGTGTTCTGTTGGAGGGTGATTCTGTATTTTAAGCTAGAAACACTACTGATGTTTTCAAAACTTGAAATTGAGCTGATTTTGGAAACTCTATCGACGTTTCATGACTTTAATGTCGAAATGATTTTGGAATCTTAATTATATGTTTATTTCTGCACTGTTGGAATACACTGAGCTCCCTAGCTCACTCCCCCAAACTTTTCCTTTTAAACTTTTTGATAGGCGACCCGGATCTAGCACTTGGAGGATCGACACATTCGCACAGTTCTATTTTGTTGTAATGTATTTATCTTCCGAACTGCATTTATTTTGGGTGACATGTGCCTATATTTCGAAAGTACTTGTTTTATGATTTATACTGCTTTTGCTACTGCTGTCAGATTTGCTTTGACACTGATTATAGAATGTTTTATTTTACTCAGTCCTTAACACTTTAATTATCTAGAATTGAATTTTAATATTATCAATTATGTTTTTAAAGATGTTTATTTAAAATATGATTTTAAGTTATTTAAAAATATTTTGAAAAACTTTATCGTAATCTGCTAGATCTGATCGTAACGCATACGTCGCGTCTAGAGGGATACATCCACTCTCCGATCTCGTTTCTCAGGATTCCCCATGCCCCTACAATTCTTGGGTTTCCTTGGCCGGCACCATCCGTATTCAACTTCAGGTGCCCACTTCGAGGCGGCAACCAAGCCACCGAAACTTGTGGTTTCAGATTCTGGTCGTGCCACAGATCTCTTTCATTATACACGTAATCCTACTTCCATTACTCGTTTGCACCGTTCTTGTGCCAAAGATTTCAAGTTGATGTGTGTTTTGAGCCCAATTTTAATGTAAAGAAGGTTGAACAACTGGAATTTGATGGGTTAAGTCTAAATTGTATTTGTACTGTATTGTTTTATTCGGGTTTGCATCACCAATTTGCGTGTGAAAGGTTTACGCTTAGCAAAGTCAAATTGCAACTGCTCCATTGCATTATTATCATTATTAATATTAAATCTATTATATAATAATCTAGTCTGTTCATTTTATCGACTTACAAAATAATCATTTTCTAAGTTCGATATTAAAACTAAAGATCTATATATAAATTTCATAAAAAATGAGAAATAAATTTTCCTTCTATCTCAATCTAAAATTGTTGTTCATTATTTTCTTCGACATGTTTGTTTTCTCTTTTATATTAAGATAATTATCATCTTCAACTCTTCATCTAAAATAAAAGCATGAACGATAAAATACTATTATAATTTTATTTTACTCATTAACAAGAAAATAATAGTAATAAAAAACAGGTGCAATAACAATCATATAACCTTATGAATTAATAATCAAAATATATTTAAATCTAAATAACTATAAGTAATATCAAAATTGCTTATAAACTTATAAATTAAAAGAACAATCATGTAAACTTTCCCAATTTTTTTCTTTTTATACTAAACTAAATTTAGTTATGTGTGGGATATACTTTTATTCTTTGGTCGAATGGTATAGATTTATATTATATTTGAGATATTACTGTATCGACTATGATAATGCATATTTCCCCCCTTCATATAGGTCTAGGGGATATTTTTAATGAGTAT